AAGTAACTGACATTATTTATTGATAAATTTCAATAAAATCAAGATTTTGGCATGATGCACAATTAAATATTGATTTTGACTCGGAATCCTGAAGCATTGAATTAATCAGACATTTTTTTCATAAGTTTCTTGCTATTATTCTTAGCTAAGATCTGTAATTTATTTTGGGTTGAATATTAATTCATATAGTTGGCCTGACATCTATCATGATTTGATCGGTTCATGATCTGTATAATCTTTAATAATAGCTAAAGGCCAATACACCGACAAATTTAATTTTTTTTAATGTGGAAAAATAATCTTGTCGCGTTGTTACTTAAATGATAGTTAAGATTTTGACACAATTACAAGCTGATAGAACAAAATGAATATATATATATATATATATATATATATATATATATATATATATATATATATATATATATATATATATATATATATATATAGCCCATCATAATTCTATTTGGCATTGAGCTAAGTGTACATTGAAATCATAGACATTAAAATAGTTGTTAATTTCTGTGCGCGCACACACTCGCATTATAAACACAAAAAATAGAGGTAAATGCAGTTAGTTCACATTGTATAAAAGAATATACTATGAATATATATATAGTCTCAAATGGTGGTTAGTTTATTATTAAAATAAGAGAATAGACAATGTCTCTGAAACAAGTAAATCTAATTAAGCATTTAGGTAAAACAAAAACAAAAAACTGTAATCAGATTAAATGCATCTTTTTTTCCAGATTAAATATTGAACAAAAAATAAAATCTATATGGTTGCAATGTTTCTATGAAATAATAATAATTTTATTGGTAATAATTATTATATGCTTCCGTCTGCGACTAAACAAAATTATAATATGCAGTGAAACTGAATAGATTCGTATTTAATAAGCCGATGTATTTTCCATTTTCGTGTAGTAAATTATTTTCCTAAATGGGATTAGTATACAAATTAGTGTTTTATTTGAAATGATAGATTTGTAGCTTAGATGGAGTTTTATTGTTTGATTTGAATGATTTGATTATCGAGCTTTTATCATTCTTCTGAACGAGATCGTCAGCATAAAATTCAGGTAGAAGTTTATAGTCATTGAAAATTTACCATTTGTAACTGTTTAACGTATTCAGATTTTTTAATCCTTTTCTAAATGTGGTTAATTTTTTATATCAATTGTTAATTCAACGAATAAATTATAGTAAAGGGTTACGGAGATGGTTTATTTGTAATTAAAATCCTGAACCAACGCTAGATCACCGTTGAAAACTTGGAAGCACTGGACGACCGTTTTGTCTTCATCCACAATCCTGTTCGAGGGACTCGTACCAAAAACCTTTGATATCCCTTAAACTCTAAACCAATGAACTGAGATCTAACGGTGTTAATGTTTTAAGTTAAATAAGCCATGATATTGCACTTCTAAGTTTTCAATGATATCCTAACAGTGGTCGGTTCATGATCTAAAATAAATTACAATTAACCTGCAGAGTTATCGGATCCATTTCTGAATTAATATCATATGAATTCTAATTCAGTATTCGTTATGATTCTGCATATACAAAATCGTTAATGCGCACTCAATTGTTCAACATACCAAACGTGTACACTAAGCTTAAATATAGCTCATGTAAAATAAACATTATTTGACAACAAGTATCAAGAGCACTTCTATCAAATTTATACAATAAAATAGGTTTTCAGTGATTGAAATCATGAGTCAATTGAAGCTAGACCACCATGGAAAACCTGGAACTATTGGACGGCCGGTTCGTCCTATTGTGAGACTCCTCAGCAGTGCGCATCCACGATTCCGCCCTCAGGACCCAGGACCTACCAGTCTCGCGCGCGAGCGCGCAACCACTAGACCACTGAGCCGTCATCCAACGGTGTTAATGTCCAACTACAACCAATCCACGAAGTCTCACCACCGTACACCATTGTCTTCAGTGAGTTGATATCTCACAACAGACCTGGTTGAACTCCACTGGCAACGGCTTCTCACTAGAACTCCATTAGTATCTCTCCAGTACTTCAAGATTTTCCATGGTGCTCTAGCTTCAATTGACTCATGATTTCAATCAGTGAAATTTCTAAAAAAATCTCCACAAAACCCCTTCTGAAATAGGATTTATTAAGTGAATTATAGTTCTTAGAGAAAAGTTTTTCTCTCAATTAAATCTAATCATGTAACAAACTTATTTGATAATAGTATCCATTATATACATATAAGAGCGATTATATTGTTTAATAAATCATTCTTCAGTAGTTTATATATATATATATATATATATATATATATATATATATATATATATGCATAAAAAACAGAAAAAGGCTCAGCTAACAACATACATGATGTTATCTCTTGTAAAAGTCATTAATAAATAAATGTATATAACAATAGTGAATTTCTTATATTTAACACGTTTTCATAGTGAATTGTGGCTACATTATATATGTGCATAGGCAACATACAAAACAACCATAATAACAATAGATAAAAGATAATTTTTGTGTGAAATGACCAAACTATTCTTCTTCTTATTATCATCATCAGTTCTAGTTCATCCTTTCTAACACTGATCATAAAACAGTAGTATAATGTTTATTTGTTGTTGTTTTTTTTGTAATTTGTTAGTAAACAGTAGAATGTAACTAAATGGTTGATAATGGTTACTAAATAACTGAACAATATAAAGAGGTGTGTTTTTTTTCTTCTATTGAATAATGTTTTTTTTAGTTTTATTTATATTTTTGGTCTTTCTAATAAACATACTATCGTTTAAAGCCTATTATTTAATAATAGTTTCATTTAATGCTTATAATTTTCCATCTATTTACTTATATTAAGTTATTCTATTGTTTTCAATGAAACAAACTACATTATAATGGCAAAATAAAATGTGTGTTATCATTCAAATAAAAGTTTTGTTTACATTATTCAATGGTTTTTTCCAATGGTTTTTAACATGAAGTCAAAATTAAACGAAGTTGATCATTGATCAAGTGATTAAGTTTGAAAAGGATCATAGAGATTAATAGTGATATATCAAAATAGTTATACACTTTATTCAATATTATTGGA